AGGTCTTGCTTGGCTGTTTGCAAGGTGCTAAATCACACAAGGGCTCAGTTTCCACATCCATCTATTGGGGTGCTTATGCATGCTCTGCCTGTGCACATCAGCATCTCAGTAATTATAAAAGAATTACTTGCTCATCAAGTGGTATTATTACTCCAGCGAAGCACACCTGCTGAAGGCCACCGCCAAGCACGGTAAGTCACAGTCTCTTCAGCTCAGGCAAGAAAGGCCAGACAGACACCGGAAACCCAAACCCACCAATGCAGGCCGTAGGCAGATAGAATTTCAAGATAGTCTGGTTTGAGGAAGGTCTGGTTACAGGCAGGGCTGGGGGCAATCAGAGGTCTTAGCTAGAAGCACTAACTGTTTCTATCCTAAGCTGTTTTTACTTAGGCTGTGAAAATTTGGGTGGCAAACCCACCAGCATCAGTGTAGACCTACTTGGTGCCAATAGAACTGAGCATGTAAGAGGGTGTTATGGTTTGTGTCTGTGTGTCCCCTCAAAGCCTCATGTGGCCATGGGGCAGGCTTTTAGAGTTTGATTATGGGTGTGAGAGCTACACCCACCCTGGGGTGAATAGTTTGCATGTGTAAGGGAGAGGAAGAGAGTGCTTGAGGCCATTCTTCCCCGATTCCTTGCTGGTGTGTGCTTGTTGCTTTTGCTGTTGTCTGCCACCCTGAGCTGTAGCTCTCTGCCATGTGCCACTCTGCCTTATAATCTGCCAAGTATGGACTGAAACCTCCACGAACTGTAAGCGAAATAAACCTTCCCTTCCTTAATTTTGGGCGTCAGGTATTTTGTCCCAGCAGTGAGAAAAGAGTAACCAAGACAGAGGGTGTTTACGGGTTTGGTCAAGACAAGCTTCCTGGAGGAAGAGAGTTTGAGGCATCTTTGAAAGGAGGACAGGAAGTGGCTCGTGTGGAACAATAAGTGGGGCTGAGCCTGTAGCTCAGTGGTAGAACACTTGCTTAGCACGCACAAGGCTCTGGGTTTGATCCCTGGCACTGTAAAAACAAACACTAAACTACTAAAGTGGGAACAGAGAGTTGATGTAATATTTGGCCAGGAGGACGTTCTGAGGACATCTAGGGCCCACCCTCATCATTGGGACAGGAACGCTGAGTCCCAGCAAGGGCCAGGACTTGCCCAAGGCCAAGCTGGCTGTGACTGGACTGTGGAGCACACTGGAAGGGAATGTCTGGGAGCAGCATGGGGACGTGGAGGGACCCTAGAAGGTCCAAAGGTTGAGGGAGCAGGCCCCTTTGGGGAAGTGGGCCTCGGTCTAGCAGGGAGGTTGTAGGTGCACAGAGAGGTCACAGCCAGGGCACCAAGGGCTCAGGCACCTTGCTGCGGAGAGAGCCTAGTTCCTGAGAGGTGACCGTGGGACAGCGAGCAGGATGCCTCTCGGAGCCCTTCTGCAGCTGAGGACACCAGGAAACACCCAGAAATGAGGTTGGCCTCACCCTGTGGCTGTTAATTGGCACTCAAGACTGGAGAGGGCAGAGCTCAATGGAGTGGGGTCTGGGAGCAGATCCCTAATGAATCAGGCGGTTCATACTTCTGTCGACTCATTGGGCTTTCCGTCCACACTGTGGTCCTCTTGAGGGAGAGAGGTTTATGAGGCTTACAAGGCTTGCAAAACAGGTTGGTAATTCAGGGCTTATGGTGGGGATGAGTCTCCGGCCGCTGCACCCCCGGGACTGCAGCTCCTCTGTGGTTATCGCCCTGTATCTGGGCCAGGCAGATAAGCACGCCCACTGGGAGCCATTCTCGGCACTTCTGCAATCAGCTTCTCTCCCCCTGACCACAGAGTTCCTGATTCCCTAGTGTTTCAGAGCTGTTTGGGTTGGGGAGATTTTTAATCAATGTCTACTCAATTTTTTAAAAAGTTTAACTTAGGTAATGCTTGTGGAGCTCATCATACCTTGCTTGCTGTTAGAGTAAGGGACATCAGAATCCCATACCCTGGTGCAGTTCAGAGGATAGATGGTTCTCCACAGATAGAAGGAGCTGGAGCCACTCCTGTTCCCCTATCCTACCCTCCCCGCTCCTAGGAAGGAATCTGGGGCCTCTGGTCACAGCCCTCACAGTGAAACAGGTGGGAAGCAATGCCCACTTCTAACCTCAGGGACAGATGACATAACAATAGCTAACATGTACGTCGTGCTTTCTATACAGCCAGTGAATTCTGAGTGTTCCCATGCACTAACCCATCTGATCTCCACACTCACCCATGATCATCTTGTTTAGCAGGTGGGGAAACTGAGGCACCAAGAAACCATGTCAGTTGGCTGGGCCCGGATGCAGGCTGAGGCAGGCTGGCTCTGGAGCTCCAGCCTTGACCCCCATATGCACCACCTGTTGTTTAGGGGCCCCAGCTTCACCCCAGTGGTACAGAACCACATGTGGTTGAGCGTGATCACTCAAGGCACCTCTAAGCAGGATAGTGCAGGGTCCTGAGCCCTGGGCCTGTCCATCTCCCCAAGGTGCCCCCTTACCCTTGCCAACTACCAGGTTTTGGCAATCTCAGCCAAGTTCATTCCCATGCTGCTGGGGTAACCTCCCCTCAAAGCCAGTGGTGGGCTGTGACAATGACCTAGGTATCTTGGAATCCAAGGGGCAGAGCGTTCACTAGGCCAGAACCATGGTTTAGTTTTTCCTCCTCTCAGTTTTTCTGAGGAATGTGTCTCATGTGCCAATTTTATCTTGCTGCTTCATATGGCAAAAATAACGATCGAAGGAATAGGGTCAGACCAGGAGCAGATCCGGCTGCCCTTCCTCAGGGACTTGGTCTAAGTTGCATTGGTGCACTTGGAATTCACAGGTGACTCCACAGCCTTGGCCTGAATGCTCCTGGGCACGAAGTGCTTCCTACCTCAGGACGCAGCTGATCTCCATGGAGAAACACCTGTGACCAGCACCTGGGTCCTAAATTCCCTCCACGCCTTTCCTTCTCCAGCCACATGGAAAGCTCTGCCCGGACTCAAGCCTGGGCTGAGGTCACCTTTTTAAGTCTTGCAAAATCTTTTAAGCAGAATGTACTCAGACGTGCTAACTAACTGAGGACTTGTTGAAAAAGGCAAGGAAAAGAGAAGTATGACCTTCAATTTTAATTCTAGGACTGAGATCCCGGGGAGGGAGGGAGCTGGAATATTCATAGTGGGGAAGGCGGTAGGATGTGCAGAGCGATGGTGGTAAGCTATCGTGCTGTGTGGTGGGCCCCTCACACACACTCTCTCTTGAATCCTCAAAACTGTGGAAAAGGTGTCATCATTGTCTCTGTTATAGAGAAGGACACAGGGACACATGACTCAGCTCACAGGAAGTAGAGGTGGGATCTGAATCAGGGTTTGCGTGTTTTTGGAGCCTGTGCTATAATCCCCGGATGAACAAGACTGGGAACCCGGGGGCTGAGCCAACCCCTGCTACAGGGAAAACAGGAATGCCATCAAAAGCATTTGCTATATCTGAAAAAACAGACAAAAATGAAAACTCAGTAAAACTTATTTTAGCTATTTATTTATTCATTCATCCATCCATCCATTCATTCATTTATTTGTGTGGTGCTGGGGACAGAACCCAGGGCCTCATGCATACCAGGGCAGTACTGTACCACTGAGCTACACCTGTAGCCCAGTAAATTTTAATAGAATGACTAAGGGGAAGCTCCTCATCTTGTAAAACCCTGAGACCTTATGAGAGCAAAGACCACATCCTAAGCCACTTTAGCTGAGACTCTGAGCTCCAAGGAAGAGGCAGGACTTAGGGTCAAGTGTTTACCCTGCAGTACCAAGGCAGACCCTGGAATAAAGGACTTGGGGAGGGAGAAACCCAGCAGACCAGAGGATGAGGAACTGGGCTGCCACTTCTAGTCCAGGGAGGAGCAGACAGCGGCGGGGCTGACTACCCACGCCCACTTTGATCGTGCCCTAGCGCTCCCAACTGTTGACTCCAGGAAGTGGATGATGGTGCAGGAGAAAGGGTGGATGGCTGACATCAAGACAACTTCTCAGGGACTGAGGCAGGATGGATGGAGTGGACAGGTTGTGGAGTCTTAGTGTGGGAAGCCCTAGGGAAGAGGCTGGGTCAGACTACTCATTTATTCATTCAAGACAGAGGGTCTTGCTATGTTGCCCAGGCTGGTCTCAAACTCCTAGGCTCCAGCAAATTTGCCTGCCTCTGCCTCCCAAGTGGCTGGGACTCAGCCACTGAACCTGGCTGGGTCAGGTTATTGATCTCTGGGTCTAAGTGTCACTCAAGGATACATACTGAGTAGTGCCTAGCATCCCAGAAGAGGAGAGAAAGCAAGAGAAGGAAGGGAGAGAAAAAACATCGTGAACAAGGAAGGCAGCAGCAGGGGGATCTGCAATGCAGTGGTGCTGCCTGGCCCTGGACACTTGTCTGAGGACAGCTGCTGCACTCATCGGGAGCTGGGCACTGCCTATCAGAAATGACTCCAGCCACTGAGCCCTGGCAGCTGGAGCAGGGATAGGGGCAGGACGGGGTCCAGGCAAGGAGGTGGATGATGGCAGGGGACAACTGTTGCGGGGGGTGGTTATGTTGACCACTCTCTGGTCCCTACTGGCTGGCTGCCAGCCATGCTTTCAGGTGACCAGAGGGTGAAACCCAGGCTCTCCATGCAATAACACGAAGGGAAGGATTCTGTGCCCCCACTCCCACCCCAGGCAGCGGGTGTGTCAGAGGCAGGCCAGCCAGATTTGAACTGTGACAACCTGCCATACTCTTCCGGTGGCCAGGCAAATCACCTCACCCCACAGCCTCTGCTGGGAGGGAGGATGACTGACAGCCCTGCCCCACTGCAGCACACTGTGGGCTTCCCAGGGCCGGTCCACCTCTGTCTGGAGCAGAGAGCCTCTCCCCCAGCTCCCTCCCCGAGCTTGTAATGACAGACCCATGGCTGCCACCACAGAATGAGGCCCAGCGCCCCTCCCAGGGGAGGGGCCCTCAACCTGGCTGCACATGGGGGTTCTCTGGGAACTTTGTATATTTAGGGTGCTGGGGCTCAAACCCAGGCCTGTGCATGCTAGGTAAGTATGCTACCACTGCACTAAGCTCCCACCCTTCAGGTTGAGGGTGTGTGTATAAAAACTGATCCCTGACCTCACCATTAAGAGTCTGATGGTAGCTGCACATGGCGGCACACACCTGAAATGCCAGCACCCACGGAGGCGGAGGCAGGAAGATCACAAGTTTGAACCCAGTCTGGAAACTTAGCAGACCTTATTTTAAAAGGGGAGGAGGCAGGGCACAATCCCAGTGTGGAAAAAGAAAGAAGGAAAAGGAAATCTGCAGGAAGTCATCTGAGCTGGAGCCAGGCAGCAATTGGTCCTAGTGAGCCCAGCTGGGGCTGACAGGCACATGCGCGGGGTTCAGCCTTCCTGCCGCCCTTCCCAGCCTGCTGTGCTTTGGCCTCACTGTCTTTTGCTTTTCTTCAAGCGCATTCCCTTCTGGCCCTTTCAGGGATGTTCTGGTTCCCTCCCTCAGAAGCCATGGCTCCCCCAGACCCTGCCAGAGGCCTCTGACCGCACCTCAGCTGGTACATTAGCTCCCCACCCTACACCCTCACATCTCCCATCCCTTGATTCTTGCACCGCAGACACCCTGATGTGCCTGCCTTGTGTGGATCCGGGGGGTGCCTTTGTTCCCCCTGGACTGTGGGCTGTGCCTGGGAAGGGACCTGACCAACTTCCTCGCTGCTGTGGCCTCCGTGCAGCTTGGACAGGGCTGGAGTGCTGTGTGCCCCATGTCCTGGGGCCCAGCACAGGGCCCAGCTGGGGACTTGCTCCGGAGACAGAGGGCTCAGAGGGGTGCTTGGAGTGCTGCACGTGGAAGCAAGGGTCTCAGCAAAGGTGGGGCAGGATGGGCCTATGCGGGCTGAGTTGCTCAGAAAGGAAGGAAGGGGCAGGTCTCGCCACAGCGACAGTGCGTGGTGGCCCAGGCTCATTCAGCATCAGCCCTAAACTTTCTGCCTGGGACACCCCCTCCCCCTGGGGCAGGGGAGATCCAGCGCCAGGTTACACCAGGGTGGGAGCTGGTATCACCTCTACCTCGAAGCAGTCATCACATAGGACCTTTCGTCAGCAGCTGCAGGACCACTGCAAACCACACATGCCCTTGCCAAGTAGGGTATAGCAAAGAGAAGGCTAGTCCGGGCCTCAGGCATTCCTGACCCATCCCAGGAGCAGAGAGCTAGTGAGGCCAGAAGGTCAGTGGCTCAGGACTCTGGTGGAACGCCAGGCTGCTGTTTGTAAGGGCCATGTGGCATCCAGAAATGACTAGCAGGTGCGCAGGACACCGAGGACTCCAGGACGTGGAGCTGCGTTGTATTTCAGCCTGGTCCCTGAGGAGCCTAGGGTCAGCTCCTGCAGCCCACCAGCCCTGGCAGCTCATACCCAATCTTTGCTCCGGAATCCGCTCCCTCTTCTGGAGTCCCCATCTCTACTTACACCCACGGTCTAAGGTGAGCCTGTCCAGTGGGATTTATCTCCTAGGCCCAGAGGCAACTCAATGCCTGTGATTTATGGTGGCCTCTACAGGGCTCCAGCAAAACAGAGTCTGCCCAGGCCCTTCCTAGAGTTGCTTCTTATCTCCTGGGCCTCTGTGCTGTCTACAGCTCCCCTCCTTGAAGACAAGGGCTGGGGACTCTAAGTTGCTATGCATCCTGGGGCAAGTCACTCAATCCCTGAGGACCCACTGTACGTATGAGGATACGAGAATGGGGGAGAAAGGGGTTCTTGTGCAGATTCAATGAGACCAGCGCCTGGCACAGGGAGGAGAGCTTAAAAAATATAGGCTCCTTCTAGTGGACCTCAAGTTCAGCTTAAAGACCCATTCAGATCCCCACGAAATACGCCAAGCCATGGTCCCACAATCTGCTGAAGGGGTCTAGTGGGTACTGGACCTGGTGCACCCCTTCTTTCCATGGCCTGGGGTGGGGATCACTGACTGCTGGGCCCTGGGCTCTCCTCTGCAAAGCAGCCACCCCCTCAAGCACACCCGCAAATCAGAGGGCGCAAGGTCTGACTGGTGCCAGGTCAGGGGAGGTCAGGAGGTATGATTAGGGCCCGGCATTTCAGAGTGGTCTTGGGAGAACAGAGCTAGACATGGAACTGGAAGACAGCAGGACTCCGAGGGCAGCAAGCCCTGTGTATGACGGGACAAGTCCAGGGACGAGGCACTATGCGCAGCAGCAGGAGGTGGGTTCAAGCTCCACGGCACTTACTTTGGGGTCTGAATTATCGTGGCGTTCACAGCCCTTCTGCTGCCTTGGCCTCGCCCACCCCAAGTCCACTCCTCTCTTGAGCCTCCCTCCCGACAAGCGAAGCATTGGGAGTTCAGGGCCCAGGACGGCAGCCAGAGCCCAGGCACCCACTTCCCTGGGACTGTCTGGTGAGGTCCTGGTTAGCCCCAGCCTATAGGCACCAGGCAGAATTCACATTTGGTCCTGAAGGCAGCAGGGAAGGCCGGAGGGCCTCCCGCAGCCCAGGGCGGGCTCACAGATGCACAAGGACCAACACCCTTGGTGTATATGTGTATATAAGCCAAGCCTAGCCACACTCATTGGGCCTGGAGGGGCCTTTGGTTCTCCATCTTTGGCATAGATCAGTAACAATTTCTGTATCAGACTGTGCTCTCCTTCCTGTATGACATGAATTAAATATATTATCTGTCTTTGTGCTGAGTCATAGGACATTCACAGTACAGTGGGGGAGGACAGGGGGGCTGAGGGAGCCCGGATCCTCCACCCCCACCCTGCTCCTCAGGCTGAGGGCATTGCTGGGCGGGGCTTATGGAGGAAACCAGGCCTGGCCTCCCCTTAGCCTCTGCTTCAGGACTCGGTCAGGCTGAGGAGGCCTTGGGAACACAGGGTGAGGAGGAGGGGTCCTCTTCAAGGGTTCTTACAGTCCAATCTGCCCCCTTCCTACTTTCTCTACCTAGGGCCGAGGGGTTCACACAGCCTCCTCTCAAGAGCACCCTCTGAGCACACTGGTGCCAGGATCACAAGGACAGAACCACAGGGCCGGGGAGGAGGGGACTGGGAGCCATGTCAGTGCCAAGGTGCCAAGGCTGGCCTGGCACCAGTGTCAGGGTGACCCCGCATTATCTGGGTGCCGTTCTCAGGATGCTGCCCGGGGCCTGACTTATCGGTGCTTGGGGATAAGACAGGCAGAGCAGTCCTTGGGAAGCGGACTGGCAGGAGCTGGGTCGGAGCTCCAAGGGCAGCATGCACTCTACACCTGCCAAGTTAAGGCAACTCCATCCGGGCAGGGAGGCGGGAGGGGTTCCCGGGCCAGCTCCAGGGGCAGCTGGCATCCTCGCGCTGCTCAGCCTTGGCCCAAAGGGCACAAGTGGCCTCTGGTGAGGAGGGAGGAGGAGAAGGTGGGGATGAGAGGAAACAGGATGACTGTTTCTTCTGCTGCTCCAGGGAACATGTGCCCTTGAGTCCCACACGAGATGCCACGTCCCTTCTTGCTCTCAGAGAGGAAGGAGGTGAAATGTGTGTAGGCTCCTGGGGGCAGAGGAAGGACTGCCAGCCTAGAGAGGCGGGCAGGCCCTGGGGAAGGCATGGCAGAGCCCACACCAGGCCAGAGCTCAGCATGGCACCTGGATTTTCCTGTACCCAAGCACTGCAGGCTGGGAGAGGGTCTGAGCCTCCTCTCCAGGCAACGGCGCACTCCCAGCCCCACAGGGGGTGACGGAGGGTTGGTGTCCAGGCACAGGCCACCAGGGAGGTGGTGTAGGGAGCAGGGACAGGAGACAGCTGCGCCCAGCAGGGCTGCCAACAGCCTTCCAGGCTGGCCACCAGCTCTTGCTCCTCGGTCTTCCTACGGCCACACAGGCCTCGTCCTACCGAAACGTGCGTCTCACGAGCCCTCACGTCCCTTACACCGCAGCAGAGGGGGCACGGCTCAGAAGATGCTCTGCCGCCGGTTCTTTCCCCGTCCTGGAGAACAGAGGGGGAGAGGTGGGACTTCAGGGGGGGTGTGAGGCTGAAAGGTGCCCAAGAAGAGGAGAGACATTTGTCTGCCCAACACTCTGAACAAGGGAGCGACGGAGTAGAGGAGCTGGGCAGTCCTGTGTTCAGATCCCATCTCTGTCACAAGCTACACGAAGTTGTGACTTAACCCCTCATGGGCTGTGAACTGGGGAATATCAATGGTGCCAACTTCATGGAGGGTTTTAAGGATTAAATGAGATAATACATGGAAAGCACTGTGGGGTCCAAGACCACCGGGTGGTCCAGACAGTAGAGTTTTCCCAGATGCTGACTGGCCAGGGGACTCAGGGTCTGCAGGGTGCATGTGCCAGAGGAAGCATCTGTGCCATAACTATGCTGAGTGCGGTGTCCTTTGGGGGAGAAGACCTCCCAGAAGGGAGGTCCGCTGGTGGGGGCCCACGCTGACTCCTATCACAGAGGCAGGCCTCTGGGCCCATCTCTGCACCTCCAGAGGGAGCCCCTACCGGGGACGGGTAGCCTGCCCAGCCTCCTCTAGCAGGGAGAGTGGTGGGGGGCCCCTGAGACCCTACCTGGATGCTGGAAGGCCAAGCCACGGTACCCTGGGTCCTTCTGGAGCTGGATCTCCTTCAGGGAGAAGATGGAGGCCGCTAGGGAGAGAAGAGGGGCAGGGAGTGGGCTGGGTGGAGCTGGGGCACCCTGGCTCTGGGAGCCCTTCAGTCAGGAGCTCCACAGACTCTGCACCCCTTAGATCCAAATGAGAACCCACAGACGGGAAGCTAACATGCCTACAGCTGCTCAGTGGACCTGGCCTCTGGCCTCTGTTCTGCTCTCTCACTCACCCCTGGTTCTCGCGTGGCCCTACCCTATTAGACACTCACTGTCCTCAAGCTGGTGCACATGTTCTCCCAGAGACCGGAAGTAGGGGTGACTCAGGGCTGCCTCTGCCGACGTGCGACTCTTGGATTCGTACTGAAACACACAGGGTGGGCTACTGGTCACTGTGGGGACCCCTCAGGCAGTTCAACCTCCATAATAAGTTAGATCGACAAGGTGAGAGCCTGGGTCACGTGACCCCACCCCACGCTCTTAGGCCTCGGGTGCCCAGGTGTCCAGTCACCAGAAATGGGACCTCAGGGAGGGGCTTCCTCTGGGGATAAAGGTTCAGATGGAGGAGGGCCACCAGGATCCGCGCTCGAGCGGGCCACGACCGGCAGGAAAACTGCCCTCCCTTTCTGGTGTGCTTGCTTCAAGACAGGCGCCTCACTGCACCTCAGTGCATGTCATCACCATCTTACGAGATACGAACTATCAACTCCATTTTGCAGGTGAGGAAATAGGCACAGACAGGTTCCCTGGAACACGCCCAAACGTACCCCGCTAGCAAGCGGTCCACACTACGGTCTGGGCGGTAAGCTGGGACGCTGAAGGCGGAGAATGGAAAGCAGTGCTCCTCCCAGGGGTGCGGCCCAGAGGGCGAGGGAGATGAGCACAGGAGCCAGGCAGGTTGGGGCCTAGGGCGGGCAGGGCTTGGGGCCTGTATCCTCCACCCCCTGGAAGGTCACTCACCAAGAGGAGGCCGGTCAGGAGGCTGATGCCGTCAGTATCCAACCTGCAAAGGGAAGGTGCTGCCGCATAGGCTCGGCCTGGGGTGTATAGGGGAGGGAAGGTGGGCGTGGCTACCCGGGTGCGCGACTACCTGGGGGCGTGACTACCTGGGGGCGTGGCTGAGCAGCGGCTGGGGCAGGTATCCGGGGAAGTTGTAGGCTCGGAACTCTGGAAGCGCCGTCACGCCGGGCCACGTCTCTTCTGTAGGGGTCCCTAGAGGGACGAGAGAAGGTGGAGAGGGCGAGGGTGAGGGGCCAGGACCACGCGGAGGGGTGTGATGCCGGAGGAGGAAGCTAAGCCGGCGGAGGGCACGGGGCTCCTGAATGGCTTGCGATCGGCGGCAAGGCCGCCGGGTCCTCTGTGCGCCTGGGCTGGGCGGGGTGCTGCCGCCCTCTGGTGGCCAGAGTGAGGGTGCGGCGAGACACTGACCGAGGAGGCGAAAGATGAGGTGCAGCTCCTCCTTGACTGTGGAGCCCGGGAAGAGGGGCCTCCCTGTGGCCATCTCGTAGTGGATGCAGCCCACGCCCCTGCGGGGAGCAAGGGGCAGGGGGTGTCAGGGAGGAGCGGCCGTCCTTCCTTGGGCTGCTCCACCAGGGTACTAAGGACACCCTCCCTCTGGTGGCAGCAGGCTCCTGGAACTGCCCAGTCCCTTCTGCGGGATGCCTTGGGCCCTAGGAAGGTGCGACCTCTCCCTGTCGCTGGGGTATGGTCTACACTGCTTCTGGCCCGGCCGGAAGAGGCGCCCACATCTTGGTTCTCCTAGGAAGCCCTGGGCACAGGCAGCATTCAGCAGAAATCTGTTTTAGCTTTAAACTTGGACTTGTTTTTCATTTTATGCCAAATCATGGATTTGTTAATTTTAACATAAAAATAAGTATTCCTTCAAAAGTACCCCTAGAACTGATGCTTAGGGGAAATTCATCATCTTTACTGTAGGGAGGGATCCTCCTGTACCCTGGGGTAAGCCCCCAGGTCCTATTTCAGAGGCACAGGTTTGGAGGGGCTATGTAAGATGGGGAAATCCTCTTCCACTGCAAACTCATCTTTTAACATCCGCAGTGGCCGGGAGCCACGCAGCTTTCGGCAGGGAGGTCAGGTGCTTCTTTCCAGAGTCTAAGGGCGCGGGAGCCCCCCAGCACCCCTCAGTCACACTCACCACATATCGATGGGCGTGGAGTACTCTGTGGACCCCAGCAGCACATCGGGAGGCCTGTACCACAGGGTCACCACTTCATTGGAGTAGGTCTTTGTGGGCACTGACTTGGCCCGGGCCAGTCCTAGGGGCAGGCGTGGCACTGAACCTTTGCTCACAGCGCTGACTGCTAAACTATAGCACCCGTGCCCTGGTGACATCAGACCCCCACCCTGCACTGGCCTCACCAAAGTCAGCCAGCTTCAGTTCGCCCCTCTCATTGATGAGCAGGTTCTGGGGTTTCAGGTCCCGATGCAGGATCTTGCGCCGGTGGCAGTAGGCCAGGCCCCGGAGTAGCTGGAACATGAAAATCTGGGGAGCAGGGAGAGAAGCGAGAAGTACAAGGTGGGAGCCCGTCACACCTGGGAGACCTGGAGCCTCTGCCGCAGGCCCGGGGTGGGAATGGGAGCAGGGATGTGGGTCACCACAAGTTCCTGGAGAGGCTACCGGTTCCTATCCATCCTCCCGCCCATCCTGGGCCCATCCCACTGGAGGGGAGGCCCCGTTGTACAGAAGAGGCAGTGAGAGTGCAGGAGGCCATCGTCCCCAAGTTGGAGAGTGTGGCGGGGTAGAATGGGGCAGGAAGCCACCTGTGTGGGGTGTGCATGCTTAGTTCTTTAACAAACGCCAGAAGGGGTCATCCATCCTCGGTTTCCTGGACACCTCCCTCCCTGCAGCCTGGCAGGCAGCTCATGCTCCCAACTGACAGATGGGGAAACTAATGCTTAGCATTAGAGATGGTCTTTACAGCTAGACTGTGGTGGAGGGCTTGTGTGTGTTCCTGGGAAAGGTACCCATCTCAGGCCCTTGTCCCAGGTCTTGGGCTCACGAATGGTAGCACCCTATCCCTCCTTTCTACACTTGAAGCTCTGAGCATGCTCAGCAGCTAGGGTCCTGGTGGTGAGAAAGGCCAGCATGATGGGCTGAGGCCATGGGTGTCAAGAAGGATGGGGTGCGGCCTTGCAGGCCCTCACCTTGACATTGTGCATACTCATGAGGTTTCCACAGTGGTCCAAGTACTGCTTCAGGTCACTGTCCTGCAACACAGGTCCCTATCTCTTAGTTACTGCTAGGCCTGAACACCTGGTCCATGCCTGCCCAGGAGCATCCAAGGGCCTGATTCTAAACAAGGCTTGCAACTCCTCCAGACCTCTCCTATTCCCTCCTCCCCTCCCACCCCAGCACCCCTGCCACAGCACCTCGGCCCTGCTCACCAGGTACTCAAACACCAGCGTGAGGGACCGGTCTGTGTGGATGAGGTCATGCAGGGTCACGATGTTGGCATGCTTCAGGTTCTTCAGCAGCGACACTGGGGAGACAGGCCTGCCTGGGTGCCTCGTGTCCTCCCCCTGGGGTCAGCAGTGGCCTCCACCCCAGGCACCCACTGACAGGCTGCTGAGCCTCCCCCCAAGCCCTTGGGGGGTGTGAGTCCAAAGCCACTGTACATACCCTCTCGGATGGCAGTGCAGGGCGCCCCCTCCTCATGCTCCAGCCGGATCTCCTTCAGGGCCACCAGGTTCTCTGTCAGCTTGCTGCGCCCCTTGAAGACTGTGGCATAGGTGCCCTGCGTCGGGGAGTGTCCACCTGTCAGCCCTCTGGGGCTGCTCTCCTTGGCCCAGGGCCTTCCCCGCTCCCCCGGTACTCAGGCTGGGCTCATAATACCAGTGCCCTACTCCCTTCACAAAATTGTTTCCCCCAAATCCCACATCCTCTGTGAAGTGCCCTTAATAGCTGCTGGGTCAAAATGGACTACTCCTTCCTCTGGCCCTGGACATCCTTTGTTATAAGGCCAGTGTCATTTTTCCTCACAGCACACTGATGTGTGTGTGTGGGTCTCCTCCTTGGGAAAGGCCTTCCTCCTCTCTGAACTTGAGCCTGCCCCCAGCCTTTGACACTCAGCCCAGTGCAGTGCCGTGGAATTTGCTCAGGGACGCAGCCCCTGCTGTGCGCCAGGAGCTGTCTAAGTGCGTGTCATGTATCCTCAATCCTCACCGTCACCCTGGGGAGAACAAGAGGCACAGAGAGCGATGATCTAAGTTGCCCAAGGTCGCAGAGTTAGGAAATGGTAGACTGGGCATTTCAGTCCAGGCAGTGAGTACCGGAAGGAAAAAGGAGCCCGGAGCTGAGGGGCTACCCTGTCCTTGCACCCTGTTCGGGACCGGGGGCCCCAGCAATACTTGCAGAAGGCTGGGCCAGGCTGTGTGGCCAAGTAGGTACTCCCACTCTCAGGGAGGGCCCGTGGGGGACAGGGCCCATGTCTGTCACTGGAGAAGACACAGCCAGCCCTTACCTCCCCCAGCTTGTCCAGCTTCACGTATGTTTCCAGTTTCCCAAAGCCGATATCTGACTGGAGGAAGACACAGGGTGCTGTGAGATCAACAGGGCCCCACCTCCCCCGCACCTCCATCCTCTGAGAAGGAAGGGGTGAGGCCCCCAATGGTGCAGAGGGAGCCACTCAGACCAGCTGCAGATCCTTCCCCTTGTTTCCCTTTATCCCTGTGACAGCGGAGGGCCCCTTGGAAGTGTGATGTCTCCCTCCCGTGATGTTGGGGACGTGGGGCCGCCCCGCTCCCATCTCTGTCTTGTTCAGATTACCAGCTCCTCCCGACAGGTGGGGTGTCTTACTCCATCACACGAGTGTCCATTTGGAACCCACTTCTCAATGCTCACCCCTTCTTTCTAGCTCAGAGGGAGTCAACTCTTAACAGGACAGGTTGTTGGGCCTCCACCCAGAAAGGCTGATTCTGCGGGTGTCTATTGTATGACCAGGGTCCGTGTTTTGTAAAATGCTCCAAAAAATGTGACAGGTGGCCAGGACTGGGAAGCACAGGGCAGCTGGTCTACCCTGAGGCCCGGAGGGAGCTTAGAGCTTAGCTCGTTTGGGACCATCTAGGAAATGCCTGCCGATCTGGGAAGAGCCGAGCTTTGAAGCCACTGTGGCCAGCAGGTGGCACCAGAGCCCTAGAACGCTTTCTGAAAACCACTACTGACCTTGGCTGGGCCAGGCAGGGCCAGGACAGGGTCCCACCCAAATGATCTCTGACCCTCTTGGGACTCACCAGGGAGGCTCGGCGGGACATGCGGCTGAGTGGCCTGGGCAGGTCTGGACTCTCTAGCTGTAGCTTCTGCAGGAACTCCCGAGGCAGGCGGATATCCATGGGCAGAGAGAGCCTCTTGCTGATGTCCTGCAATGACAAAGGAACACTACGCTGGCTCTAAAGGAAGTGAGGGTTTCGGGCCTTCACCTCTCACTAGCTTTCCAGTACAGCAACCACAGCAGGGCCAAATCCCAGGCTGGGACTCTAGGCTCACAGCTGCTTTGGGGGTGCCCCAGAGACATATGTGAACACCTAGGCTTGCTGTGTGACCTTATGAGGTTCCTTCCCCTCTCTGGACCATGGCATTACCCCCAGTGCAGAAGGAGAACCCGCCCTCCTGGACACTGTAACTCTGTGAGCTTAGTTTTCATATACTTGGCACATGTATATGGGGCGAAGAACAACAGCCATGTTGTTCAGCCTGTGCTATGTTCCAGGAATGTGCTGAGCCCTTGGCATATATTAACCCATTTAATCCTCACCAGGACCCTTCTGAGGGCAAGGAGACTGTAGGACACAGGTTAGTAGCTTGCTCTAAATCACAGAGCTAAGAACAGCAGAGCTGGGATTTGAACCCCCACAGTCTGGCTCAGAGGCAGCTCCCCTTGCAGCACACCTCTGCGCCGTGTCCTGCAGAGCCAGGGAGGAAAGCCCTCACCTCCATGGAGAAGCGGCGCTGGTTCTGCCGTCGCCGGTACTGCATGCTGGGGGACAGTCGCCCAGGCTCCTCCCCGCCATCTGTGGGGGAGAAGGTGCTGGGCTCCAGCGGGGGGTCTCTGCCAAGAGGACCGAGCTGCAGGTCTGAGAGGCACAGGAATCGGCCGTCAGCTCCCCTCCCTGCCGCTCTGCCCAGCCCCCAGCCCAGCCACACCCTCCTCCAGGGCTGTGGGGAAGGGGGTCAGCAGGGGCCTGTGGGACAATTGGGGTGGAGGGGTGCAGGCCAGAGAGGTACAGGTGGGACCCTCACCCTCGTTCCTCTGGTTGTGGAGCTGGTTGAACTGCTCCGTGAATTCGGCCAAAGACTCCTCAATGGTCTCCGTGCGGGGCACAGACAGTGAGAATCGCCGCTTAAAGTTCTTCATCTTGTTCATGATCAGCAGGGGCCAGTCAGGGGTGTCCTGGGATGCAGGGGTGAGAGGAAAAGGCAACGCCCAGGTGTACCCCAAGTGTGGGTTCAGGGTCCCTTCACATCAAGCCTGCTATCATGCATGCTGCAAAAATTTCTTCCTTCTCCGTACTAGATCAAAACCAAGCGCTCTCCCACTGAGCTACACCCCAGCCCTTTATATTTTGAGACAAGATCTCACTGTTGCCCAGGCTGATCTAGAACTTGCTATCCTCCTGCTTCAGCCTCCTGAGGCTCTGGGACTGTAGGTGCCTGCCACACACTCAGGGAGTTGTGTCTTCTCCAGAGTCCAAGCTCTCAAGGGGAGGACCCCACCTACTTCCTTCCCCAGTGACTCAGTTCCTCATATTCCCTTCTCCTGGGGAGATGGTCATAACCTGCATCAGCTGGAACAGCCAACACTTTAGCTGCTAAAGCAGACAATCTGGTGGTCACAGGCCACCTTGTGAGTGAATGTGCCAACAGCCAGGGAGCCCTAGTGATCGATGAACTTCACCGTGGCCTACCCCCTTTGGATGCCATGCCATAAGTGACCTCCTCTGGCTTGTCCAGGGCACCCAGGAGCCCAGGAGATCAAAGGGTTGAAGGAGGAAAAGTATGCAGGAAATCTGGCTCAGTTTCACCCTCTCTCCAGCTGAAATATGGGGACCAGGGGAAGGGAAGGTCTCGGGAAACGGCAGGAAGGCAGAGCCCTGCAGTCCCTCCCATGCCAGAGTGCCCTGAGCAGGCAGGCACTCTGTGAGCACCATGGAGTGGGTGCTCTGCTCACTCGAGGGCCCTTCCCAGCCAGCAGCAGCTCCCATTGGCTGCCCAGTCTCTAGGCATAGGGGAACCCTGCCGCTTCTTCCCACAGTTCCCTCCTCTGGCCCTGAAAACCCAGTGGGCCTGTCCTGCCTCCCTTCCCCTAAACGCCCAGGGGGCTGCCTCCTCATCCTGCTCTGTCACACTGCCTTCTGCTGAGCTGCCAGGGGGCAAGGAGGGACTGGCAGGCCACACGAAAGCCCAGCCCCCTGCCTGCCAAGGCCCCAGGGCCAGCCCCGTGGAGGGAGGGCCCGCCTGGCCTCCTCCCTGGCTCTCCCCACACACCAGCACAGCCCACGCACTAGCATAGCCCACGCCCGGAGGATGCTCAGTCCTGCTGCTGGCCGGCACCTAGTTGCCAAGGCAACCAGGCCCTCCTGAATCCTCCTGGTTTAAGGGATTATGGGTCAGTAACACGTTTGCTTTGCTTAATGATCATGTCCTCGTGTCCTCAGCCAGCCTGGAAAGGGTCCTCTCGCTGGCCCTGCGTGCTCCTGGCTGCCTCGCATGCAGGTCTCCCACGTCCAGGCTAGTGCCTCACAGTCAAGCTCAGACACTTACTGCCAGCCGAACAGGGGGCCCTGAAGGCCAACTCAGTTCAGCTCAACACACCAAGGGCCGAGCACCTACTGTGTGCTGCCTGTGTGAGACACTGAGATTACATAGGTGCGTAAAGCACGGTCTCCTCGCCAACTCCCACCAGCCCCTGACCCCCGAGGGTCCTGAATCTCCATCACCACACCTTCCCACCAGCCAGCCGGCTTCAGCTGCGGCCCAGCTCTGAGCTTTCCGGGTCTTTGGTCTGCAGGACACTCAGACAGGAAGTGCCACCGCCTCCTACCCTGTGAACAGTGAGCAACCCTGGGGCACACAGGACCACCTCCTGATGGTGGCAGGAGGGGACGGCCCCAGGGACAGGAAGACTCAGACACGCCCTACCCAGAGACTCCTATTTCCCAGCAGGCAGACCATGGCGATATCAGTTGTTTTCAAAGTTGGCTGAACATAAGCATCACCAAGAGCACTGTAAAAGAATTCAGGTTCCTGGGTCTCACTTTCAGATTCTGGAACTGCTCTCTTCCCCCATGCATGCTGGGGAGCAAACTCAGGACCTCCCTTGAGCATACTAGCCAAGAAAAATGCTTTTTTGTTTTGTTTTGTTTTTTTTCCTGTCTTTTTGAGATAGGGTCTTGCTTATGCCATTTAGGCTGGCCTTGAGCTCACTTTGTAGCCCAGGCAGCTCTCAAACTTGCAACGATCCTCCTGCCTCAGCCTCCTGGGTGCTGGGATTACAGGCGTGTGCCACCACACCCGGCTGAAAAATGCCTTTTTACTTTTTTTTTTTTTGGGGGGGGGACCACTCACTGAATTATTCAGGCCAGCCTCAATGCTGTGATCTTCCTGCCTCAGCCTCCGGAGTGGCTGAGATTACAGGCACACATTGCTGTGCACAGGAGAAAGTGCAGTCTTCAGCAGCACTTCCCATGGTCTGTACTTGGAGCCATGGCTGGGAAGCATTTTGGGTTGCAGGGAAGGGCTGATTATCTGCCAGACTTCTGAACTGCACTCTGTGCTGAGGCAGGGAACCCTCGAGCAGGAGAGAGGGAGCCCAGGGGAGCAGAAGCGCCCCCCGCCCCATGAGCGGCCTCTGCCCTGGAAGAAGCGTATCTGCACTGCACAGGTCACAGCCCAGGCTCCTCTGTCCTGGTCACCCTGAGGGCGGGCACGTGACTCCCAGAGGGCTGTGCTCTGCCAAGAGGGACCTGCCACACCCCTTTCTAAAAAGAGGGCTTCCACATTAAGCCATCCTGCAGCCTGGGGTTTATGGGATGGCATGCTGTGTTTGTGGCTCAGGAATCTACCAAGAGCTGTCATGAAGCTGGCTTGGGGGGAGGGGCGCTTATCCAACTCTTTGGTGAGGAGGGCCCTGATTTCCGCAGGACAGGACAGCCAGCCCTGAATCACACTGCTCTCCCCACAGTTTGGTTAGGAGCAAGGAGCCACCAGCTCAGGGGCCTGGGCTGGAGGGGAGGATGGAACAGAGTGAAATCAGGGTGGGGGACTGGAGCAGTGATGTGGGGCCGCAGTGGCCCAGAGGGATGGGGACCAGCTGTTCTCCACTGCCGGGGAAGGGACCAAGAGGAAGCGGCTGTCACTGCTGCGAGGGATGGAGGTCAGATGCAGGGATGGACTTCCCGACGGTGACAGGGGAGGCAGGCGATGGGGGTGGTGAGCAAAGCACAGGGCAGACGCCTCTCCCTGCCGGGACAATCAGGGCATTGAACCCAGCAGGGTCTTGGGTGTGACAGGGCAGACCGGTCAGAGACTGGTCTGTTGTTCCCCAGCTCGAGACACAAGATGCTTCTGTCACTTTCCTCTTGGGAGTCAGCTCCTCAGACTTGGGGGCTGAGGGGGAAGGGAGACAGGAAAATGGCCTGTCACCTTGGTGCTGTCTGCCTCTCACCCCCCACTGGGGACAGAAAGGCTCAGTGTGACACAGCCTGAGGCCAGTGCAGGGCCAGGCACAGTGTGGCCTTTGTCCCCGAGCGAGGGAGCCATCTGGGGCTGTCTTTGTGCAACGGGTGCCAGGGGAAGGGCAGTGGGTGTCGAGGGGTGCCGGGTGGAGGGGTGGTGTGGGGCAGTGGCGGCAGCAGGGGCCCCTGGAGCCGCGGGTTGCTGGGCAGACCCAGTCGGCCGGTCCTGCCTCCCTGCCCAGGTAAGAGGGTAGAGCCGGCCACCTGCTTCCGTTACTTCCTCCTGGGCACGCCCCGGCCACCCAGCGCTTCCTGCTGAGGCCAGAAAAGCAGGTGGCGCAGGAGGAAGGAGGAGCCAGGGGCACTGTGGGAGGCCACTGTGCACCCAGGGAGACAGGGCCAGGCTCCAGTGGGGCCAGCAGAGGAAGACGGTGCTGGAGGGGCCTCCGTTCTGTCCCTGGCCCAGGAGGATGCAGAGGCTCCGACAGGGGCGCGACTTGTTCAGAATCAGGCTGCAAGGAGCTGGGGATTTAGCTCAGCGGCACAGCGCCTGCCTGGCAAGCGCAAGGTCGTGAGTTCGATTCCTGGTACCGGGGGAAAAAAAAAAAAAAAAAGAATCAGGCTGCAATTTCCTGGTTGCTGCCAAGAGCAGACTCTGATCACATTGCTCCTTTCTCCTGGCTGGAGCCTTCCCCAGCCCTGTGCCTTCCCTGTGGCCTCTGCTGAGAGTGCTGCCCTGTGTTCCAGGCCTCTCTCCTCCCACTCTGATCAACAGCCATATGAGCCTAGGTTCAGATTTTGGAGCCACTGCTAACCAGCAGGCTGTGTGATCACAGTGAAGTGACATAATCCCTCTTGACTTTGGCTCAGTCCATCAACAGTTATTTATTGAACACCTACTACATGCTTGGCAGTTGTAGGCACTAAGAATTTAAGATAATGGATTTCTGTCCTTTTTTTTTTTTTTTTTTTGGCTGGGGATGGAACCCAGGACCTAGAGCATGCTAGGCATGTACTATACCACTGAGCCATATCCCCAGTTCTCTGCCCCTGTACATGCAAATGGAGACAAGGAAATGCAGACAATAAAATAAAAGGTGGTGGCAAGTGTGATGTGAGATGTGTGCTGTTGTAAGTTAAAATACCGTGGTCAGGAAGGCTTCCCTGAGAAGGTGATGTCTGAGAAATGGGGGAGGGAGCTCCATATGGAATCTGTGGGAGGCAGCTTAGCAAGAGAAGAGCAGGTGCGAAGGTCCTGAGGCAGAAGTGAGTTGTAATGGTCTAGAGCAGCAGTCTAGCTGCACAGGAGGCCAGCAGTCTATGCAGAGCAGCTGAGTTGGGCCTTGCAGGATACAGAAAGGTTTGAACAGATGAGTGCAGTGGTTGGTAAGAAGTGGCTGGATTCCGGGTTTGGTCAGAAGGTGAGGCCATGGGGATTTGTAGGTGTGTAGATTGTACATAAGAAAGCAATCACACAAGCATGACTGGAGGGGACTGAGCTGAGCAACTGGAAGGATGGCCTGGTCACTGGTGGAGCTGAGGGTGTCTGGGAGTGGAAGTTTTGGTGGGAAATGTGGTGCTTCATCTGATTGCCAATTTGATTGGCTTGAGAGATGCCTCCGAGATTATAAAGCACACATCTAGATGTGCTGGGTGGGCCATGAGGACATGACCTCTGGGACTATATCTGGTCCTTGGTCCCTTCCTCTGGCTCTTG